CAGCAAACATTGCGATTTCGCAGTCTAGTCCGCTTATGCAGTCATTAATATAGATAAGGAAGAGGATAGGGCCATGAACGGAACCCTAGGGAACCCCGCTCTCAACCGCTACCTCCGCCGACCGCTGTTCGCCAAGAAATATGGTCTGAGTATGACCAGTCAAGAAGTTTTCGATCGACCGCAAAAGTTTGCCCCTCACTCCTATATGGCTAAGCTTGTATAAGAGACGTTGATGAGGCACAGTGTCAAATGCCTTCTTGAAGTTTACGAAGACTGTATGCTTCGTATTCCCTTCATCAAGCGCTTGGGTCCACTGTTCTAGACAATAGAGCAGATTGGTCAAGCAGGACCTTTCACTGCGGAATCCGTGCCGCTTGTCAGAAAGGAGTTGATACTGCTCCAAAAGGTGCATCAGCTCGCGTTTGAATATGCGTTCAATGTGCTTGCAGGGTATTAAGGCGAAGCTGACCGGTCGCCCGATTTCCACTTTTGTGGATGAGTGAGATCCACGCTGCCTTCCAGTCGGATGGCACTTGGCCAATATTAAGGGAAGCTCGGAAGAGGAAGTAAAGTGGTGCTGCCAACTCTGCGGTTAGCTCTTTCAACAGCTTTGCAGGTATTTCTTCCGGACCGGATGACTTCGTTTCTTTGAGTTGTAAAATTTCTCATAGAATAGTAGCTTCCCTAAGGGCACCTGAGTCGATGGTCTGGATCTCACCCACACTGAAGTTTACAGCGGTGAGCTCGGCCTCTCTCGTAAAGACCAGCTGAAAAAAAGGAGGATAGGTGTTCCGCCTTTTCGTTATTCTCGCAAATTTCTACACCGTCGTCTGTTTTGAACATAGGAATGGGGTTCTTATTTCGAGTGAATTATCCAATGTAGCTGTAGAAAAGTTTTGGATTTCCTACTGCATGGTTTATTAGCTTACTCTCGAAGCTTTGGCGGCTATTTTGCACTAAGTTCTTTACCTTGGTTCTTTGCACCTCATACTTATTGTGCAACTCGGGGTCCTCTCTCTAAGATTAGTTTGCCATATCATTCGTTTGCAGTTTACTTCTCTCTTTAGTGTGGGCGTTAGCCACCGAGGCGTATTTGTTGCTTTCTTTACCGTGATAGGACAGAAATCGGAAATTAGTAAGTGTAATAGGCTTTGAGGGCCGACCAATCATCGAGAACGCATCCGGCGAATGTTTCATTCCAGTTTATCCTGCTCACTGTGGTTTTCATTTGTGGTAAGTCTCCGCGCCACATGTTGCATCTGGGTATCGCATTTAGATCAGGCACAGTGAAGAGTGAATACCCCCCGCTGTAGTACTACGTGGTCAATTTTGCCGAGAGGAGGAAGAAAATTTACGACGTCCACGCTATCAGGCACTTTGGTCAGTACTAGGTCTTAGCGATTGGC